ACATCATCCCAATAGCAGACACCATCACTCCTGCTTCACCACAGTAGTAAGACATCATCCCATAGCAGACACCATCACGCCTGATTCACCACAGTAGTAAGACATCATCCCATAGCAGACACCATCACTCCTGCTTCACCACAGTAGTAAGACATCATCCCCACAGCAGACACCATCACTCCTGATTCACCACAGTAGTAAGACATCATCCCATAGCAGACACCATCACTCCTGCTTCACCACAGTAGTAAGACATCATCCCATAGCAGACACCCTCACTGCTGCTTCACCTTAGTAGTAAGACATCATCCCCATAGCAGACACCATCACTGCTGCTTCACCTTAGTAGTAAGACATCATCCCATAGCAGACATCATCACGCCTGCTTCACCACAGTAGAAGATGTCATCATCATAGCAGACACCATCACTGCTGCTTCAACACAGCAGTAAAACGTCATCATCATAGCAGGTACAATCCTGCTGCTTCACCACAGTAGTAAGACATCATCCCATAGCAGACACCATGACTCCTGATTCACCACAGTAGTAAGACGTCATCACTCCAGCAGACACCATCAATCCTGATTCACCACAGTAGTAAGGCGCCATCACTCCAGCAGACACCATCACTCCTGATTCACCACAGTAGTAAGACGTCATCACTCCAGCAGACACCATCAATCCTGATTCACCACAGTAGTAAGACGTCATCACTCCAGCAGACACCATCACTCCTGATTCACCACAGTAGTAAGACATCATCCCTCCAGCAGACACCATCACTCCTGATTCACCACAGTAGTAAGACGTCATCACTCCAGCAGACACCATCACTCCTGATTCACCACAGTAGTAAGATGTCATCACTCCAGCAGACACCATCACTCCTGATTCACCACAGCAGTAAGATGTCATCACTCCAGCAGACACCATCACTCCTGATTCACCACAGCAGTAAGACGTCATCACTTCAGCAGACACCATCACTCCTGCTTCACCACAGTAATAGGACGTCATCCCCATAGCAGACACCATCACTCCTGATTCACCACAGTAGTAAGACGTCATCACTCCTGATTCACCACAGTAATAGGACGTCATCCCCACAGCAGACACCATCACTCCTGCTTCACCACAGTAATAGGACGTCATCCCCACAGCAGACACCATCACTCCTGCTTCACCACAGTAATAGGACGTCATCCCCATAGCAGACACCATCACTCCTGATTCACCACAGTAGTAAGACATCATCCCACAGCAGACACCATGACTCGTGCTTCACCACAGTAGTAAGACGTCATCCCCATAGCAGACACCATCACTCCTGCTTCACTTTAGTAGTAAGACATCATCCCCACAGCAGACACCATCACTGCTGCTTCACCTTAGTAATAAGACATCATCCCCATAGCAGACACCATCACTGCTGCTTCACCTTAGTAGTAAGACATCACCCCCACAGCAGACACCCTCACTGCTGCTTCACCTTAGTAGTAAGACATCATCCCCATAGCAGACACCATCACTGCTGCTTCACCTTAGTAGTAAGACATCATCCCATAGCAGACATCATCACGCCTGCTTCACCACAGTAGAAGATGTCATCATCATAGCAGACACCATCACTGCTGCTTCAACACAGCAGTAAAACGTCATCATCATAGCAGGTACAATCCTGCTGCTTCACCACAGTAGTAAGACATCATCCCATAGCAGACACCATGACTCCTGATTCACCACAGTAGTAAGACGTCATCACTCCAGCAGACACCATCAATCCTGATTCACCACAGTAGTAAGACGTCATCACTCCAGCAGACACCATCACTCCTGATTCACCACAGTAGTAAGACGTCATCACTCCAGCAGACACCATCAATCCTGATTCACCACAGTAATAAGACGTCATCACTCCAGCAGACACCATCACTCCTGATTCACCACAGTAGTAAGACATCATCACTCCAGCAGACACCATCACTCCTGATTCACCACAGTAGTAAGACGTCATCACTCCAGCAGACACCATCACTCCTGATTCACCACAGTAGTAAGATGTCATCACTCCAGCAGACACCATCACTCCTGATTCACCACAGCAGTAAGATGTCATCACTCCAGCAGACACCATCACTCCTGATTCACCACAGCAGTAAGACGTCATCACTTCAGCAGACACCATCACTCCTGCTTCACCACAGTAATAGGACGTCATCCCCATAGCAGACACCATCACTCCTGATTCACCACAGTAATAGGACGTCATCCCCACAGCAGACACCATCACTCCTGCTTCACCACAGTAATAGGACGTCATCCCCACAGCAGACACCATCACTCCTGCTTCACCACAGTAATAGGACGTCATCCCCATAGCAGACACCATCACTCCTGATTCACCACAGTAGTAAGACATCATCCCACAGCAGACACCATCACTCCTGCTTCACCACAGTAGTAAGACGTCATCCCCATAGCAGACACCATCACTCCTGCTTCACCACAGTAGTAAGACGTCATCACTCCAGCAGACACCATCACTCCTGATTCACCACAGCAGTAAGATGTCATCACTCCTGCTTCACCACAGTAATAGGACGTCATCACTCCAGCAGACACCATCACTCCTGCTTCACCACAGTAATAGGACGTCATCACTCCAGCAGACACCTTCACCAAAGCGGTAAGACACCTTCACTAAAGGAGACACCATTACCATAGTTTGTCGATTAATGCTGCACTCAGCTATAGTCCAGCTATATGGCGGCCGTCTATAAATAATCAAGACCAGACAATCCAATGATCAGCACCATAAGCATCTATCTACACAATTGTGATATGACAACATTTGTCAACCAAGTTATCGAGCCTGACCACATGATCCCATTTATCACCTCTTGCAACAAACACAGATTTCTGAAGACCAATTTCACAGGTCCACCTGCACCACAGCAGTGTGACATGATCATCATAGCAGTAACTATACCAGACACCTCTGTTGCAGTGTCACGGTTGCAACAAGACACCTTCTGTGTGCACTGAAGCAGATCTCCTCACTATACCAGACACCTCTGTTGCAGAGTCACGGTTGCAGCAAAACACCTTCTGTCTGCACTGAAGCAGTCAGATCTCGTCCCTATACCAGACACCTCTGTTGCAGTGTCTCGGTTGCAGCAAGACACCTTCTCTGTGTGCACTGAAGCAGTCAGATCTCGTCACAATACCAGACACCTCTGTTGCAGTGTCTCGGTTGCAGCATGACACCTTCTGTGTGTGCACTGAAGCAGATCTCGCCACTATACCAGACACCTTTGTTGCAGAGTCACGGTTGCAGCAAGACACCTTCTGTGTGTGCAGCAGATCTCGTCACTATATCAGACACTTTTGTTGCACTGTCACAGCTGCAGCAAGACACCTTCTGTGTGCGCACTGAAGCAGATCTCGTCACCTTTGTTGCAGCGTCACGGTTACAGCAGGACACCTTCTGGGTATGAACTGAAACAGATCTCGTCACTATACCAGACACCTATGTTGCAGCATCATGTCAGCAGCAAGACACCTTCTCTGTGTGCACTGAAGCAGTCAGATCTCGTCACAATACCAGACACATGTGTTGCAGTGTCGTGGTTGCATCATGACACCTTCTCTGTGTGCACTGAAGCAGTCAGACCTCCTCACACTAATAGACAATTTCTCTGCAGCAGAAATACACCTGTCCAAAGGCAGAAACCTCTATAACAACAAGATATCTGTGACGTAAAGCCCAATCCAACACAACTCAACTCACTGTAGTAGTCAGACACCTCCACTAGCTAGATAGAGTCATCAATATGGCAGACACTTTCACTGCAGCAGGGGGGCGGTGGGGTAGCCTAGTGGTTAAAGCGTTGGCTTGTCAGGCTGAAGACCCGGATTCAATTCCCCACATGGGTACGATGTGTGAAGCCCATTTCTGGTGTCCCCCGCTGTGATGTTGCTGGAATATTGCTATAAGCGGCATAAAACCAAACTCACTCACTCACTGCAGCAGTAAAATGCAATTACTATTGCCATCACCTTCACCTTAGTGGTACAAACGGCAGTGAGATGCATTCACTGTAAGAGAAGTGGCTATTGCAAAACACTGACTATAAATGCAAAACCCCATAAATAAGCAGCAATGATGTTGATACAGCAGACATTTTCCCTGGACTAGTCAACACTGTCACTGAAGTAATCTGGCATTATCAGTTTTATGTGCAAGACAGCATTACTGTAGCAGTAAGAGTGAGTGAGTGAGTTAATATTTAACATCACAGTAGCAGTAAGACTTTGTACAGCAGACACCATCACTACAAGAGCAGTAAGACAATTAAATAGGGCTGCGCAATATAACCGGTTTACTGGTATTTACCGGTTCAGACGTGAAAACGATACATATTGCGATACGCTGATCGAAAACCGGTATTTTGACTTGCATTCGGAAAACGTCGTAACACTCGGAAATCTTCGGATATTTCCTTTTTTCGTTTGTGCCAAATATTATTCACATTTATATTTTATCATGATTAAAAGTTGTTATTAAAGCTTAATCAAGCATAGCGATTTTGTTGTGTTTTTCCTCTATAAATCAAGCATTAACTGTATTATAAGTAGTTTTTGTTTAGAAATACTTCATGCAATATATTGCAATACATATCGCAATACATGCTTTCGCATCGCAATATATCGCAATATGAAAATTCTCCGCAATACCCACCCTTACACTTACAGATACCTCGGCATTAATGGGTACAATAAGGACTGGTCGGCTCGGAGTCAGTATAATGTGTCTGAGTGGGGTATTCATGCTTCACTGCGGCATGGTATCTCAGTGAGCTAGCACTATAAAACCAGCTTAAATCTGGGCAAGTACAAGCAGCCGCACATACACATACATACGCACGTCGTCATATGAGCGAAATATTCTCAAGCACAACGTTAAACCCAATTTCACCTCACCTCACCTCACCACTTGAAGTTAGTTTGGAAAAACCGGTCCATTAAAATAATTCCCCGAGAAAAAAAGAGTGAACAGGTGCTATGAACACACTATAGCAGCATCACTGTAACCATGACAACCATTAGGTGTCAGGACTTGGCAGTGAATATGGTTGGTACTACAGCAATAGTCTCAACACTGCTGTCCAATACTTTCTTCTCTGACAAGACACTGATATAGACTTTCCTGACAAGCACCGGGATCACCATGGTAACTGCTAAATACATCCAGTAAGGCACTTGACGAGAGTTTGAGAAGGGAGCCAGCCAGAACCCTCTGCGGGTTGCGTCACGCAGGTGGTGGGAGAAGACTGCAGTCAGGAAGATGAGAGACAAGGTCTTCAAGTAGCGGACTTTGAGCACCATCCCCAGAATCCATAACGTCGCAGACACCACTGGGATGATGGTGGTCAGATGGAGAGGTGGGCGGTCAGGTAGGCTCACTGCTGCCTGTGGACAGATAGAGTATATCAGAGTATATGGTAACATGACACAGACATTGGGATGATGGTGGTCAGATGGAGAGGTGGGCGGTCAGGTAGACTCACTGCTGCCTGTGGACAGATAGAGTATATCAGAGTGTATGATAACATGACACAGACACCGGGATGATGGTGGTCAGATGGAGAGGGGAGCGGTCAGGTAGACTCACTGCTGCCTGTGGACAGATAGAGTATATCAGAGTGTATGATAACATGGCACAGACACTGGGATGATGGTTGTCAGATGGAGAGGTGGGCGGTCAGGTAGAGTCACAGCTGCCTGTGGACAGATAGAGTATATCAGAGTGTATGATAACGTGACACAGACACTGGGATCATGGTTGTCAGATGGAGAAGTGGGCGGTCAGGTAGAGTCACAGCTGTCTGTGGACAGATAGAGTATATCAGAGTGTATGATAACATGACACAGACACTGGGATGATGGTTGTCAGGTAGACTCACAGCTGTCTGTGGACAGATAGAGTATATCAGAGAGTATGATAACATGACACAGACACTGGGATGATGGTTGTCAGGTAGACTCACTGCTGCCTGTGGACAGATAGAGTATATCAGAGTGTATGATAACATGACACAGACACTGGGATGATGGTTTTCAGGTCAACTCACTGCTGCCTGTGGACAGATAGAGTATATCAGAGCGTATGATAACATCACACAGACATTGGGATGATGGTTATCAGGTAGACTCACTGCTGCCTGTGGACCGATAGAGTATATCAGAGTGTATGATAACTTGACACAGACACTGGGATGATGGTGATCAGGTAGACTCACTGCTTTCTGTGGACAGATAGAGTATATCAGAGTGTATGATAACATGACACAGACACTGGTATGATGGTGGCCATGTAGACTCACTGCTGCCTGTGGAAAGATAGAGTATATCAGAGTGTATGATAACATGACACAGACACTGGGATGATGGTGGTCAGATGGAGAGGTGGGCGGTCAGGTAGACTCACAGCTGCCTGTGGAAAGAAAGAGTATATCAGAGTGTATGATAACATGACACAGACACTGGGATGATGGTGGTCAGATGGAGAGGTGGGTGGTAAGATGGAGAGGTGGGCGGTCAGGTAGACTCACTGCTGCCTGTGGACAGATAGAGTATATCAGAGTGTATGATAACATGACACAGACACTTGGATGATGGTGGTCAGATGGAGAGGTGGGTGGTAAGATGGAGAGGTGGCCGGTCAGGTAGACTCACTGCTGCCTGTGGACAGATAGAGTATATCAGAGTGTATGATAACATGACACAGACACTGGGATGATGGTGGTCAGGTAGACTCACAGCTGTCTGTGGACAGATAGAGTATATCAGAGAGTATGATAACATGACACAGACACTGGGATGATGGTTGTCAGGTAGACTCACTGCTGCCTGTGGACAGATAGAGTATATCAGAGTGTATGATAACATGACACAGACACTGGGATGATGGTTTTCAGGTCAACTCACTGCTGCCTGTGGACAGATAGAGTATATCAGAGTGTATGATAACATGACACAGACACTGGGATGATGGTTATCAGGTAGACTCACTGCTGCCTGTGGACAGATAGAGTATATCAGAGTGTATGATAACTTGACACAGACACTGGGATGATGGTGATCAGGTAGACTCACTGCTTTCTGTGGACAGATAGAGTATATCAGAGTGTATGATAACATGACACAGACACTGGTATGATGGTGGCCATGTAGACTCACTGCTGCCTGTGGAAAGATAGAGTATATCAGAGTGTATGATAACATGACACAGACACTGGGATGATGGTGGTCAGATGGAGAGGTGGGCGGTCAGGTAGACTCACAGCTGCCTGTGGAAAGATAGAGTATATCAGAGTGTATGATAACATGACACAGACACTGGGATGATGGTGGTCAGATGGAGAGGTGGGTGGTAAGATGGAGAGGTGGGCGGTCAGGTAGACTCACTGCTGCCTGTGGACAGATAGAGTATATCAGAGTGTATGATAACATGACACAGACACTTGGATGATGGTGGTCAGATGGAGAGGTGGGTGGTAAGATGGAGAGGTGGCCGGTCAGGTAGACTCACTGCTGCCTGTGGACAGATAGAGTATATCAGAGTGTATGATAACATGACAAAGACACTGGGATGATGGTGGTCAGGTAGACTCACAGCTGCCTGTGGAAAGATAGAGTATATCAGAGTGTATGATAACATGACACAAACACTGGGATGGTGGTGGTCAGATGGAGAGGTGGACGGTCAGGTAGACTCACTGCTGTCTGTGAGAGAGTCAGTTATGATTTCTAGTCACATCTGCAATATTTCAGCCATATCGAGATAAATACAATTAAATTATCATTATATCAAAACCTGTCGACGAAGGACAGTAAAATAACAAGATTATAACAGATTGAGAATTAACAGATAAAGTATATCAGAGTGTAGGATAACATGACACTCCCCGTTCGATGATGATGGTCAGTTGGTGAGATTGGCAGTCAGATAGACTCGCATACTATACATATATACAAATTAGAAAGAAAAAAAGTTAAGTGACTGATAACAAGGACCTTCTGTCAAGGTCATGATAAATGTTTAGGTCACATCAGCAATATTTCAGCAATATTATGACAGAAAGTCATGCACTGCGAAAATATATATTTTATATTTTGTAAGATGTGAGCAAAGGCCAGTACAACAAGATCCTCACATTTTGTAGTTTGAGATCATCATTCAACAACACAATATAAAATCGGGTTATGGATCACCAGCAACCCAGGTTAGGCCATCATCATGATCGTACTTGGCGCCATGGGGACTTGCAATACTTCTGCTTCTCCAACCAAATTTTCACAATTCCTCTAGCTGCTTGGGATTGTACACATATTAAGCCATCCATTACAATTCCCAAAGAAAAAAACTGTGGTAGTAATAACATTCTGTCAATGGTCAAAGTTCAGATGTGGCATATGTACAGACATGACAGAATCAGTCTTACGTATACCTTCACAGGTTATGAGTAGAAACCTACAGATGATCCTGAGGTAGTTTATCCGAGTAAGGTTTGGAAAAGGAAAATAACAAAAAGTATGGGCGAGTTAACTGGTTTTGAGGGAGTGAGTTAAGATTTCTCATCACTTCAGCAATATTTCATAGTGACCAAAACAAGTTATATACATTCATTCATGAGTGAGTTGAGTTTTACACCGCATTCAGCTATATTCCACCTATATGGCGGCAGTCTGTAAATAATTGCGTCTGGACCAGACAATCCGGTGATCAACAGCAGGAGCATTGATCTACTCAATTGGGAACTGATGACATATGTCAACCAAGTCAGCGAGCCTGACCACCCGATCCCATTAGTCGCCTCTTACGACAAGCATGGGTTACTGAAGATCATTATTCTAACCCGGACCTTCACGGTTCATGACACATAAATTGATAATAAAAAGACATTTTCAAGAACTACATTAATAACAACCAGTAAACTACAGATACAGAAGCAAAACCAACATGTAAATCTAATACAATAAGACAATACAACATATAAAACAAGTTACAAATTGTCAACAACTGAAGGGAGATAGGTCACCAGGCTGTAGGTGAATTCGTAGACCAGACTGGTTCCTAGAGGTGGAAATCTGTTGGATTCGTAGGCGGATTGAGCGGTGGATTCGTAGACGTTAGTAAAATGGGAAAGGTTCAACCTGAACGATGATGAAAATCGATTATATGACTTTAATGTATCCGAAAAGTGTTTGCATTTTGTGAAATAAATAAAATATATCAGGTAAGTATGATCGCCGATGAAAATATGCTTAAAATAATAAAATATGCTTCACAGTGGTCCACGTCCGACAAATTCCGACAAATCACAGGCCGCTAATATATTAAATTCAGTTGTGTAAAATTAAAAGATATGTATTAGGTAAGTATTGTCATTCAACATTCAACTACGCAGACCAGCACAGAAGTAGAAGAAAACACTTCTTAAGAAAACACTTACATCTCCTACACACAGTATTTCGCAATCAAAACAACTCACCACTTCCTAATTAACCTTCACAACAACTCAGTGAAACCTGTTAATCCACATTCACAACAACTCAGTGAAACCTGTTAATCCACCCACAACAATGAAAACAGTCGGGAAATTATGATGGGTAGACTAATTTTGTCTGATCCGCCGACAAAGTTTACCTGTACAAACACTTATGGTATATAAACATCAAGAAGGTAAGAAGAAATCATTCAGCATCATGTCCTTAGCTGCCCTTAGTTTCGTATCACTGAAAACAAAGTAGAACTTAATGTCTGTAAACATGGTAAAACACTTACAAGATTACAGAATACCGGATACCTATCCGCCATTTTTATTTTGATTGCGCATTTATTTTTGCGCACTTCCATTTTGTTTCCTTAGCAACGGCACACGATGAATGAAGGCTGTGTTGAAGCAGCGTTTAATATTAAATATTAAATATTAAACAATATTAAAGCTAAAAAAAGGTAAGATAATGGGGGTAAAGGGGGTACCCCCCTTTATTTAAAAGCCTTACCTACCTTACCTTACCAATCAAAAATCACTTACCATCAGAGTGTTCCCACACTGTAGAGTTCCTTTTCCCAGCATGCATTTGAATAAAATTTCAACACACGATTACTTTTTACTCTGTTTACGTCAGTGAACGCTGTTAAAATCCCCAGTTTAGGTTTCCTAAACGGGAAGTAAGGTGAGGAATTCGATTTTAACCTTATTTTTTACCTTAAATTCGTATTTTTATTGGATCGCTCGCAGGCTCGCGCTCTGTTTCTTCTATATATAGGAGCCTCACGCGCACAATAGAATGTATATTATTAGGTATCCGGTATTCTGTAAGTGTACCCAATTATTAATACACGTCTACGAATCCACCGTGTCTACGAACTGGTTCAGTCTACGAAATCACCTTCTCCCGGTCACCATACCAAGGACCATGGGTATTATGGTATGTAGCAACCGAAGATCAATATTCATGTATTTATTTAATCTATGTGAAAAGCATTTTTTAAATCAAATTTTAAAAAAAGTTGGAAATGATTACTGTAAATTAACTGGAAGTCCCCATTAATGCAAGCAGCTGAAAACCGACCCTCACCTTAATATTCAACGACCTTGCAGCATAAAAATGATCCAGGTCAACACTGACAGCCAGCACGGCACACAGGAGGCAGTTGAGAAGTTTGTAGCGGTCAAAGTTGACATTTTCCACCAACGCCCAGGACCACAAAGCTATCAGCCCATGTGTAGCACTGTCAATACCTGCCCGAGCCCAGAGAAAATCGCCAAGTCTGCTTGAGACGAACGACAGGCTGCGGTCGCCGATCAGACATGTTGACAACAGCACGATTTCCAGAATTAAAGTGTTCGTGTTACTGAAAGTTTCATCTACAAACTGGCTCAGTTGGGACATTTTTACACGCATCTTGTTCGTACTTGCAAATACATTCCCATTATTGGCGATGACGTGTCAATACATCGCCTGGTAGTTGATGCAATCCTGTGTTCATTACATGTACATCAACTCTTGCATGCCTTTGTTTACAACGGAAGTGTCTCGCCACATACACTTCCGGTTAAAGGTTAGTGTAAAAGTCATTCATTAAAAAGAAACGGGATATGATCTGATATGTGCTAGCCTTCTCTTTCGTAAATGGCAGGCTTAGAAGGCAGATATTATTCAGTCACATAGAAATTATAATCAGGAAATGCTACACCAGGGTTATTTGAAGATAAAACGTTAAAGCAGTAATCTGTTAAATACGGGTTTACACTTTATCAGTAAAATGCAAAATCCATTATTTTTGTATGGAGTCCCATCCTGGATTCGAATCCACTCTTTCGTGACATGTTTGTTATGTTTCAAGCAATCGGGTGATTTTTTTTTTTAACCCAAATTTAAACAAACGCCACAAGTATGATCAGTTTGTGTAGCTCTTGTCGTCGGCTGACTAACGGGATCGGGTGGTCAGGTTCGCTGACTTGGTTGACACATATGTCATCGGCTCCGCATGGCGCAGATTGGTGCTCATGTTGTTGATCACTGGATTGTCGGGCCCCGACTCGATTATTTACAGACCGCTGCCATATAGCTGAGTGCGGCGTAAAACTAAACTCACTCACTCACTCACTCTTGTCATCGGCGCAGCTTCTATAAATGTACCACAAGAACCTTTCTTTAACTGCCATGACACCGAGCACCCAGAGACTCTGAGGGCACAGATGAAGCCTGTGTTTATCAAGGAAAATATCAGCTTGTAAAACATCATTTCTACTACATGTCATACACCATTTGAAAGGTCTAATCCTACTGTTTATAAATATGAAAGTTATTTATCATTCATATAATATAGGAGAGCGGAAGGTCGCGGGTTCGATTCCCGACCCCGTCATACCAAAATACGTTAAAATATGGTACTTGTTGGTCCCTGCCTGGTGCTCGGCATTATTGGGTACAACAAGGACTGGTCGGCTCGGAGTCAGTAGAATGTGTCTGAGTGGTGTATTCATGCTTCACTGCGGCATGGTATCTCAGTGGGCTAGCACTATAAAACCAGCTTAAGTCTGGGCTAGTACAAGCAGCCGCACATACACACGCCTGCACGTCGTCATATGAGCGAAATATTCTCAAGCACGACGTAAAACCCAATTTCACCTCACCTCACCTCATATAATATAACTACAAACTAAATAAGTTATTTTTTAATGAAAAAGCAAGCTTAAACGTCCAGATAAACCATGAAGGAAGATTTTTCAATTTGTAACATGACATAATATCACCATAACGTTTTGTTTTATAATTCCCTTTTTACGTAATCGGAACATTTTATTAAAAGGTTTCTAAAATAATATGTATGGTCGTCTATTTCCCAATATCAGAGGCTTTCCGCTCGGTAACGTGACACAAGAGCGAAAAATACCTCCGTTTTCGAAGCTTCGCATGAATAACATGCGAGGCGTTTCGTTTGATGGCGGGTATCGTTCGAAAGCTCTGAACATCAACAACACAACTGTACCTTTGCCAAGAGTATTTTGACGGTTGTAAGAAGCGCTTTTATTGGATAAAGATTGGGTTCTAAAGACGTTTTTTCCCGGTAATCTGCTATAAGGATCGAGGTCAAAATCATGCACATGTCCTGAGGCACCCAATCATATCAGTACCTCAAAGGATATGGTTGTCGTAAACGAAAACTTTGAGATTTAGGCGAAAGTTTTGGGTACAGTCATGTTATTCTGAACGTGTTACACAAACAATCACCACCTACACATAAAGTATGAAACATAAAATATGGTACTTGTTGGTCCCTGCCTGGCGCTCGGCATTAATGGGTACAACAAGGACTGGTCGGCTCGGAGCCAGTATAATGTGTCTGAGTGGGGTAGTCATGCTTCACTTCGGCATGGTATCTCAGTGGGCTAGCACTATAAAACCAGCTTAAGTCTGGGCTAGTACAAGCAGCCGCACATACACATACACACGCATGCACGTCGTCATATGAGCGAAATATTCTCAAGCACGACGTTAAACCCATTTTCAGCTTGTTCTTTGACAACTTTGATGTGGAACGGCTGCCGAAGCATGTTGAGAGGCATTTGTATCTGATAGTTATACTCTATCTGGGCCAGTAGTAAATAACTGAATGTGTGGAAATGGATCAATAAAATTGTCAGTTTTGAACGCTCTTCCCAACCTAAAACGAGTGATATAGCGAGGGACCACTGACATGTTGTGAAAAAAGTGATACGATGTAGATGTTATATTGGAGTTACGTTGGATTCACTAGTCTTGGGGTGAGAGTTGAAAATGGATGACCACAATTGCAGTATTTGATGAATAATCACTGAAACAAATATTAGTCCACTGGACTAGTGCAATTTTGTTCCCATTAGCCCGACTAAATTTTTACTCGCCTCCGGCTTGCGGGCGAGCGTGAAGATCGAACCCTGAAATTACACTACATGCTCTTATGTACCCTCTCAGGAGGACAATAATAGACTACGATACTTCAACCTCCGCAACTAACAATCTCAGTTGTAAATTGATACTTCTACTTACAAAATAACATATTATCTATTTACAAAATATACTATTCAAAATCTATCTAACAATTCTATTTCCAGGGGCGGTGGGGTAGCCTAGTGGTTAAAGCGTTCGCTCGTCACGCCGAAGGCCCGGGTTCGATTCCCCACATGGGTACAATTTGTGACGCCCATTTCTGGTGTCCCCCGCCGTGATATTGCTGGAATATTGCTAAAAACGGCGTAAAACCATACTCAGTCAGTCAGTCTATTTCCTTTAAACGGTCAATTATAAACTGATAAGTAACATGGATAAAAAGATCTTTCATTGTTATGCCTGGTATGTAGCTTGCAGTGATATGGAACCAGTTGACGTATTATAGTGTGTTGTACTTGTATCAAACGTTCAGTTTATTACAAGATTTTTTAAGAGGTTATGCATCTGTATCACCATTCTCTTCCCACAGAGGTTACTTGTCATATTTTCCTACGAAGCTCTGTTCTAATACGGCCCTTTCATGGTGCGAGTGTTCAGAATTCGTGATTGGTTGCAATCAGATTTAGTTGTGCAATCAGCGACATTGTTTCAAAAGTGATCATTCGCAAGGACTCGGTAATTTCCGTATGCTTAAGAAAAACTGGAACCTCTTCCCCTGCGCGATACGCAAACGTTACTTCTAGACAAAACTCAGTCAGGTAATGGCGGATCAATGGCGTCACCATCGCCCTCGTTGACAACGGACAAGCTTGACATTAAATGTCGTGTGTGTCACATCAACACAAGTCCCCGGCAGAGAAGAGGGATATTTGAGGCCCCAATTTCACTTGCATCGATATAACACGTGTTCTGATTGGATAGAAAGAAGGGAGGTAATTCGTGTTGCGATTTTTTGCCGCTAGGGGATTTTACGAGAACCGGGAAATATGGCCGTATTAGAACAGAGGTTCGTAGGAAGATATAACCTCTGTGGGAAGAGAATGCTGTATCACATTATGCTTTTATATTACATACTGCCATTCAAACATGAATGTATACCATATCTGCACCATCCATCCTGACAAAAAAATCGTAAAAATTATAAATACAATGTATGCCCCAAAACCATAAACACTTTAGCCCAGCCCACTCGTATGCATAATTGTATTCGCGGTCGGCCGTCTGTGGCTGGAAGATAATACAGTCCGCTTCGTGTGTTGACCTTCAGTGTGTACGCCATCAAGCTCAAAGTGACACGAAGCGCAATATTTTGAATGAAGTTGTAGGGACAATATGCCATATTGTCTCGCATTTGGATACTCGTCCACTGTCCACTGTCATGACATGCCTAGACTACTGTAACTCCCTCGTGTCAGGAGCAGCAGCAATCCAACATCTCCAGCTTGTACAAAACAGAGCTGCCAGGATCATATCCAGGATAAAATGTCAGGAACACATCACCCCTGTGCTGAGGTCGTTGCACTGGCTCCCAGTAAAGAGGAGAATACAGTACAAAATAATTTGCATCACCTACTCAACCCTCTATGACATCAATTCACCAGCTTACCTCAAAGACATCATCGAAATCTATCGTCCAACTCGTGTCTTGAGGTCTGAGAAAAGAGGCAGCCTGAAAATGCCAGCTACAAAAACATCCATGGGAGACAAACTTTCAGTGCTGCTGCACCAGCTTTGTGGAGCTCTCTGCCAGTTGAACTGAGATCAGTATCTTCCCTGGAAGCATTTAGGAGCCAACTAAAAACTCATCTCTTTCTAGCTACCTACTAGTTTCTCCACTTTCTCTGCACAGCGCCACTGAGCAGCACTGGTTGGACATTAGGCGCTTAAACAAATGCATTATTATTATTATGTTTTACAGATTAAAGATAGTATGCAGCAGAGAGGGTTCGGGTGATCCCGGCACAGTCAGGCTGGTAAGGCTCATCATCAGCTCAGGGCCCTTGCCCCCTCTACACGCAGCCCAGACAGCGAATGGGACTTCTCCCAGGAAACGCTGCCTAGTCGAACCCACCAAGAACTTTCCGGAGAATATGAAGGCTCCCCAACACTGCAGCCTTCTTCATTACCCAGAGTATCAGAAGGGCTGTACTCCCGGTGGAGAACCCAGGCACTCTCCTGATCTGCGCCAAGAGATCAGGAGGTACCAAACCAAGGGCACCGAGAACAATGGGGAGCCTGACGACAGTGTACTTGGGATGCAAGCGAGACATTTCAAAGGTGAGGTCCGCATATTTATCATGCTTTTCCTTAATCTTGCCAATCACATTGGTGTCAAGAGGGACAGAAAATTCAATGACATAAATAAATTATTATTATTATTATGTTTTACAGATTAAAGAAAGTATGCAGCAGAGAGAGTTCGGGTGATCCTGGCACAGTCAGGCTGGTAAGGCTCATCATCAGCTCAGGGCCCTTGCCCCCTCTACACGCAGCCCAGACAGCGAATGGGACTTCTCCCAGGAAACGCTGCCTAGTCGAACCCACCAAGAACTTTCCGGATAATATGAAGGCTCCCCAACACTGCAGCCTTCTTCATTACCCAGAGTATCAGAAGGGCTGTACTCCCGGTGGAGAACCCAGGCACTCTCCTGATCTGCGCCAAGAGATCAGGAGGTACCAAACCAAGGGCACCGAGAACAATGGGGAGCCTGACGACAGTGTACTTGGGATGCAAGCGAGACATTTCAAAGGCTAGGTCCGCATATTTATCATGCTTTTCCTTAATCTTGCCAATCACATTGGTGTCAAAAGGGACAGAAAATTCAATGATATAAATAAATTCATTGGCTTTATCAAAGAGGACAAGATCAGGTTTGTTGGCTTGAATTCTTCTGAGGCTGTATGTGGGCCTATTCCACAGAAGTTTGAAAGCATCATTTTCCATGACGCCCTGGACATGTTCAGGGTCGTACCATGGATGGACCTCGGAGTCAAAGCCACAGGCATGGCGGAGACGGTAGTAAAAGCAAAGAGCCATGCCATCATGTCATTTAAGATATGATGTTTGTGCCAAGGAAGGGCATCCACTGACAAGGTGTTGGACAGTCTCCGTGAATTCATTGCAAAGTTGACATTTCATATTGATATTTTCTTTAAGAATCACATTTAGGCGATTGCGAGTGGGAAGTGACTGGTCCTGAGCAGCAAAAAGGAAGCCCCCAGCCTCACACTCAAGACCAGCCGACTTCATCCAGGCGAAAGAGTCGGTGGGACCGCCACTCTGTTCAACACACTGCATGTACACACGACGCAATGGCCCCCCAGAAAGCCCCTTCACAAAAGACCGACTCTGGGCAGACTTGGTGAAGGACTTCACCTGGTTCACTCCCACCACTGCACCGCCCAGCAGCACATCGCCATCAACAAAATCAACCTCAAATCTCAGATTCTGTCCAACAACCTTGGCACGCTTAAAATAGCTGTGGAATTCCTTGCTTGAATACCTCTGGCCTCCATTTTCATGAATTTCTGCCTAGACGAAAGCAGAGGCTGGCATATTGTCCACGTGCTGATGTGAAACTCAAACACACATGTAAACACTGCACGTCATGTTCACTACATGTCTCAAAGAAGAATTATGAAAGGGGTCCTCAGTTCATTGCACAGGCAAGCCGAATCCAAACATTACAAGGAAGCTGTACCCGACATTCCACTCAGTATCGGCAACTCTGTGTCAGGATCAACGAGAGAGAAGCCTATCAGAAGCGGTATCGGATTGGTTGTCCATAAACATGTGATAGACAAATGACTCCCACACCAGTCTGAAGTGGGCCTAATCAAACCATCGTGGAGTTCAGGATCGTTATCATTTCTTGTGAGCTACTGAAATCTGCGTCAATATTCCAGTCGGTTTTGTTGCTAGAAAACTTTCAAATTAAGAAAATGTGTACGCATGTGAGATTACCTTTGACGGGTATACCATCCAAATCCAGGTTTGACCTCAAGGGGTGATTTATTTGCCAAAATAGAAGCAGTTCTCAGTGAACGAGTAGGCACGGTGACGGTGCGTTTCGAGTGTTTTGATGAGGCGACCATATATCCCGGGCTGTTTAAAGGTTTGGGATATTGTTTCTTCAAACACAGAAGTCCATCAGTGGGTCCACAACACTTTATTCGGCGTCTAAATATGCAATTACATGATAGTGCAGCAACGGCCAGGCAGCATCACAGAGGCGATCGTCCGTCCGCCTGCCTAGCCGCTGTCCGAGGGTCAAGTCCCGTTACATTCAGAATTCATTGTCTATGTACTACTGACTGTCGTATTACGATACATGTATAGGCAGCCTGCAGTACCCAGTATGCACCTCGTCCACAATGTTCAACCTCCGTGGCCAACCGGCCATATACTCTAAGGTTAATTAGGTTTAATTACACGCAGGCAGCTGACCTGTACATGGCTGTGCTGATGGTCATGATAATAAGCTGCTGATGTTTCATTTATATTGTCAACACTGTCATTTAGATTTAGATAACACAACTTTAACTTAACTCAGAGAATATACAAACATGTCTTTATTCCCTGATAAACCCATACCCCATCAAAGTGCCTACGACACATCTCATCGTCTTGCGGTAATCGCGAAATACTTTCGAGGGACGTGCGTTTTATAATCCTAATAGAAACCGTATAGTGAAATATTACTGTTTCTAACTGTATTTTGTGTTTATTATATGTATCCAGGTGTTCGTTAAGAGCGAAAATGAACAAAAACTTAAAATTCATTAAGCCATTACCATTGGTAAACTAACACACCTTCCCTCGCCAAAGGTAACTTTCGTGAAAGGTTTACGCTATCAAAGCAAATTACATTTTTAACAACTATTATCGCAGTTCATTATAGATCTTCATGTCTGTTACCTTACAGGAAACATAACAAACATGTTTTGTGCCTCTTCCCCTTCACAGTTTTGTGAGTGAGTAAGTGAGTATGGTTTTACGGCGCTTTTAGCAATATTCAAGCAATATCACGGCGGGGGACACCAGAAATGGGCTTCACACATTGTGCCCATGTGGGGATTCGAACCTGGGTCTTCGGCGTGACGAGCGAATGCTGTAACCACTAGGCTACCCCACCGCCCCTCACAGTTTTGTCGTTCACTTCCGAGAAGGGACCGCGTAACAAGAAATAATACCTGACCAAAAGAAAATAATTATCAGTTGGTTAAATGATGTTATTCAGGACGAAAACTTGCAAAGTGAGTGAGTTAATATTAAACGTCAAGTCAGCAATTGTTCAGCCATTTGATGTAATTGCAGTAAATCAACATATTCGAGCTGATTTCTATAAATATTCTTTTCTATGTATTGCTGGGTCTTGGGTAATATAGTGATATTAAATATTTAATCATTTTTCTGAATTTTTTACCCGCCGTGATATTGCTGGAATATTGCTAAAAGCGGCGTAAAACTAAACTCAGTCAGCCAGTCTGAATTTATTGTAATAGCGAAAGTTGCAAGTTTACCATCATCATATGTATTTCATTGTAATAACCAGTGCTAAGGTGTCATCTGGAAACAAAGCCTACTATTCATATTTTTGAAGCTCAGCTTTCATCATCAAAATACCACAAATATACTTTCCTGAAAATTCTTAATATCGAAAAACACCTGTGGTCCAGTTCACCGCTTACTTCCAATATTGGATGAACATAATTACTCCAGGTCCCGATTTCTGGAAACAGACGTAAGGTTTTCCATACGTCTTATCCGAGTGAGTGAGTGAGTTAAAATTTAACGTCACACCGGCAATATTTCAGCCATATAGTGACGAGAACAAAGTTAGTATATATGATAAATATCTGTCACTAAGGACAGTAAAACGTTAGCAACGTATCACAGAATGCAAGTATAAAAACTAATCATTTCCAAATCTAAAAATGCAACTCGATGTGACATATATTAACTTTAAAGCACGGGCTATGGACCACCAACAACCAAAGCTAGGCCACCTTACTGGGGTTCATGGGGACTTACAGTACTTCAGCTTCCTGCATGAATCCCCAGCAGGATGTCTTCTCCGAAGTCATGCCTTATTGTAGGTACCTTGGTCGTGTTTCCCATGGTGCATTCATCATAGAATGCCATCCCAAACTCTGCTATCACGTCTCTTCTCACCCCGCCACCATGCAGCTTCCATTTTGCCTTTGGGCATGTTCACTTGTATCGTCATGACATTAGACCTTGGGTCAACTCTCTAATACTGTCCTCAGTGGTTGCTTGGACAGCTTGGCCTTGCACTTCCGTGCTTTCATTTTCAGCAGTAAGAGCGACAAGCTTCCTTTCAAGGTGTCGTGTCCTGCGTGGCGTGGCTGGCAAGGAATGGTGGCTGGCCTGGATTGCATCATTACCCTCCACCTCTGCAGCATTCTGTTGTACTGTTAAAAGATTTGACACTGTTAAGGAGCTCAGCTTGTTTCTTATCACTGTTTTGATGTTTTTCAGCTTTGAAAAGCCATGCTGACATTCCGCATTGGAGGGCACCACCTGGTCCCTAAATCTATTAAGATGTTTTGGTTATATCTTGGTGTCATTCCAATGAAAAAAAAAGATCTGCAATAATGTCTAACTATTATAAACTTAATAAAGTATGGAAATAAACAATTTTTAAGTGAAAAGTCTAGTGTTCATTTTTTTTAAAAATTTCCGTTCAAGTTTCAAAATCCTTATATACAGTAGTACCTACATTCACTATGAACATACTGTACACACCCACTAAACCAAATATGGTGGTGCCCGAAACCACAAATAGCTCAAACTCATTGAATCATTTAGATGTACATAACTTTGTACCAGAAAAGTAAAGGTACATTTGGATGGAAAACATACCAATATGACTTTAGTCATTTTGATCAGTGCATTAAACCCTTGCAAAACTCTCACTACCCATTTACATCTACATTGGGGCGTATGCAATCAGAATCACAGGTAGGTCGTTGTTACACCTTGCCAGAAACAAACTTAAATCTGTTTTCAGACAAAAAGTTTGAGAAAACTCGGCAAAATGGATTTCTCTCAAAAACTGAGTTCGATTTGAGTTTGGTAGGGAGTTGACTTAAAGGATTTTTTAAAAAGTTAAACATAATGCATTTTTATTACACAATGCCATTCAAACATGAATATATACCACATCTGCACCATCCATTTGTGAAAAAAGCCTTTAAAATTATAAATATGCACCAAAACCAGTACCGCTTTAGCCCCGTCAGTAGTGAACAACGTCTCCCTGGCCCCTTTTTCAAGATGGCGGCACTTCCGGTCGCGCGATCCTAGATGGCTGCACTTCCGGTCGTGCGATCAAAGATGGCGGACGCGTTTCAAGATGGTGGACGCGTTTCAAGATGGCGGACGCATTTCCAGATGGCGGGCGCGTTTCAAGATGGCGGACGCGTTTCAAGATGGCGGGCACGTTTCAAGATGGCGGACGCGTTTCAAGAGGGCGACGGACGGGGACGGGGAAGGAGAGGGAGAGGGAGGGAGGGCGGTGAGGGTACGATGTAGGCCTAGATAAGTGTGTGGTTATAGCTTTTACTTGTAACCCAGCTTTCTTTTGAGCGGGATCGGTGGCCCTGAAAAGGGCCGTTGGTATTGGTGGGTGAGAGATCACCGAGGCATGGCATGTATTGTGGTGATGGCGGGCCGCTGGAGGAGGTACTGGTGGAATCGTCCATGGGTTCAACAAAGTCCAAGACACGTTGAAGTACAGTGTGCATGGTGTCTATGCGATAATGACCGAGGAGGACCCTATCATTGAGTAGAGCCAGTAGATGTTTGCTTTCACGTTTACTCACTTTCTTTGGCGGTTCACTTGGCTGGTTGGTGGGAGCCGGACGTTTCTGGGTCTTGTTAGAGCAGTTCATACTCTTATGGTCCTCTTTACCACAGTACCGGCAGGGGTGTGGGCAGTCGTAACTGCGATGGCCTTCGTTTTTTCCACAGTTGTAGCAGGTGTTGTTATCGTGCTTGTTACTGCTGTTGGTCTTCTTTGGACATATGTAATGGCGTTGGCCTTGAGCACCACACTCGGTACATGTCACCATGGGGCAGTGCAGATAACTGTGGTCATCTGTTTCGCACAGGAGGCAACCGAAGGAGGCGGAGGCGGGAGACGACTGCATGCTTCCAGTTTCAGTCAGCAACTGATGTGGAGAGCTGGAAAACCTGAGTTTTTATAGCTGACGTGGATGTTGTGATATGGTGTGTGACGTCATGGGCAAAACCCATGGCCAAACCCAAGGGAAAAAATCCGATGGGCATGGCCATGGTAAATACCCAATGGAAAAAACCTGTGACGCCATCCATCCCAAAAACAAAATGGCCTCACACCACCCATTTATGATGAAACCTAGTGGGGAAACCATAGTGTTTTCCACCAAATGATCTCACACCACTCTTAGGACATCATAGGGTGACGTCTATATAAACTAGGCTCAGCGTGGGTATTGACAGTTCTCATCATGCAGTCACCACCAATGGAAGGAGAAAAAGAAGAAGAAGAAGATGAACTTAAAGAGGTGCCTGTGCCCTACAAGTTGGAGCCGACGTAACAACCAAGAAGTTTCAGACCGACAGCCATCGCTATAAGCTGAAGTTCAACCCAGCTTGGCTGCAGCGTCAACAACCTGAAGACTTACCCGTCGTTCTCAGGGAGCAGTTTGATGCTGTCTTGCTAGACCTGAGAGACCATGTGAACGGACATGATGGTGATCGCGTGGGATTGACTCTTGAACACCCAGCCCTGGATACACCCATCCGAATCACGTTTTGGCGCATGGAGGACCTCCAGGGGGAACACATTATGACCCAAGTGGAAAACGTACAGTAAAGTAACCACGAGTGGCATATCGATGACACCATGGACATTTACTTACTACACGTAGATGATCCGGCTCTCCTAGGCCAGGGACACGGACGGGCAACACACATTGGGTTAAACGCCTTCCGGGAAAAGAAGCATTGCATTGTACAAATCATGAATGAGGATCAACTCTGCTTTGCCCATGCCCTGATCGTTGTGGGTTACCATGCATACAAACCCAAATCATGTGACCAAAGAATGGACCAAGCAATGGAAATACATACGTAAGGAAGAAAGACCAGCGCAGTTGAAAGCCACCAAGGGTTTGTTTCGTCAAC